TTCCTTAATATTCTTGAGTACTTTATGCTGGAAATAAAACGAATACGTGACCGAAATCTGAGCAAATTTATCGGAAGATCGCAATTCAAGCAAATCGAAAACGGGGACCAGATTGGAAGCAAAACGTTATTGATGTTAAAATGTTGTGTTTAAATTCCAAACAACACTGCATAAAAAAACAAATACATTTGATGTAGTCTTTTTGGAAGCGTCTAGAAAGTTATGAAAAAAGTTATAAAAGTTTTATTGAAGGATTTTTACTGTAGTAAGTTAAAAGTATAGGGCATATCCTTTCCCAATAATACTTTTAATAAAATTATCAAACAGTAATGCCGAACGAAGTAAGTTATATTAATACTTTATCAAAACTGTTAAGGTTAAATTTTGCGCTTTAAAATGACATTCTAATCCCAAAATAAACTTACAAAAGTGATTTTACTCCATGATAGTCCTTCCTAGACAAAATTTTCAAAGACCTTTTAAATATTTGATAAACCGAGCCAGTGAAAATCTCTTTAGGATAAAATTAATTATTGAGGATTTCATTTATTAAAGTGATGACGGTCTAATTTTAATTACAAACCCTGTAAACCACTTCTGGAAAAATTCCAATTGTTAAAAACTCTTTGAATAGCAAAACTATAATCCCCTACACTCTGGATTAATATGGTTAGATATTAAAGTTGGCTTCTTGTAACAGTTTAAGCTTCTTAAAGTCATATTAAGGACATTATAGGGTGAAAAGGACCCTTTAAGTGTTCTTAGAACGAGAAGAATAACTAAGATTTTTCGACCTTTTTAAGCATTCTTACACAATACATTAAGTCTTTCACTTTTAAGCTTTTTCGTATTGCACGTGCTTAAATCTTCTGATAAAATGAAGGATTTTTATATTCAGACTATTATAGAACCTAACAAAAAACGTAACTGATTTATCAAATAATCTTTGTTTCTATATGGATTTTATTATTTTTTTCATTATTATAAAATTAATTTATTTTTAGAAACGCTTGGACACGTGGATTGGTATTTTTTTAACAAAAACTGTTTGTCCTGTAGTAGTGGCCAATACCAACTTTCTTATTTAAAATGCAACATCCTGTATATTATTCAATTTTTTGATTCTTCTTAAAATTGTAAACATATTTTATGTACAATGTCCTATTTAAGGGGGCATCCATTAATTACGTGAGGCAATTTTGGCAATTTTTCGAGTGAATGCTCGAATGTTTGAATACTTCGAATAGTTGAATGGTGTAAATATTCAATTTAATTTGAGACTGTCACAATAACAGTAAAAGTCAAAAAAAAATTATATTGACGGTCTCTTAGACTAACGTAACCAAATAAATTCTCTTTTCGGGACAGGAATGTGTGAATTGTAGGTTTATCCTTGAAATCAAACCAATCAATCATGATCACTTGACGTTGCACCAAATTCCCCATAAAACGAGGACGTTACATCAAAGGGATGCTTCCTGTATATTACCAACCAACTGAATGCATAATTTATAGTAGAAGTTAGTCCCTAATTCGCAATTAAAATAGCACTTGTGTTAATAAGTATTTTATTATTTAAGGGAATCTTACTATAAAAGGACACTGTTGATCATTAAAAATATTATGCATTAAAAAGTTTTTTACTCACTTAATGTTTAAAAAAACGTAGTCAAACTTAAAGATTAAGGTATACAAACAAATTTTGTTAAACTCTGGCTAACCTGCCGTGTAACTTCTTTAACTTTTTGAATAAATTTAGGTGGGTAAATTAAAGTTTCATGGACTGGTTTTTTTAAATCTTTACTCCTTAAACTGCCTATATGTCGATCCAAAAAGGCTAAAATATGTGCGAGGGTTTGTAGAAAAAAATCGATGTAGTTTCTGTGGTAAGACAAGTAAGAAAGTGGCCATGTCGCATTTTTCAGAAAAACGTTTTTATTTAGGTAAATTAAGTTTTGTAATGATAATTTTAGTGTATTTTTGCAACAGTATTTTGTAAAAACATTTTTAACGAACTTTTTTTAATTGTTTAAAAAAACGACATTGATGAAAAGAAAAAAATTCACTTACTCGTAATTTTTCGAATTTTTATTTATTTTATTTTATTTATATGAAAAAAGTAACTTAAAAAATAGATAGAATATCCCTTAAATGAACTAAAAAAATCTAGTCAATAAAGAATTTGCCTAATGTAAGTTAAATATTAGATTTTTTTCATTTTAAATATTTGGTATAAATTAAATTACGCATCGCTACGTACAGGTTTTAAACCATCTTTTATATATGCATTAGTCGCATTTACTTATTAACCCTTGTGCATTCACCAGTTTTTAAACATTTTATTATTTTTTAATAATTTTGAAATAATTGTAATGTTTAATGAATTTATTGGAAACGTAGAAAAAGTATAGTCTGAAACACGTTTGGAATTGCATATTCCGCTCTCGTAAAACCGTCAAACTCGCCTTCGGCTCGTGTGACAAACTATTCACTCGAGCGGAAGATGCCGTATTTCAAACAACTGAATATACTATTACTGAAATGTTTACAATTTTCACGTAAATTATTACTGAAATGTGTATTTATTGGATCTTATAGATACAATTGATATTTAAAATTTATTTCTACATTAGGATTTCCACTGTTTATTGGGTAAAAACTCAATCCAGGATTTCCTCTCGAAAAACACCATACAACACAACAATTTTTTTCTCGATATTTTTAACATTTTTCGGCCTAGTTTGTTACATACGAGCTTGACAGCTGATTATTAAAAGTTGTAGTTTTGTTACAATGTTAACAGCCACCTGGTGGCGCTACTATCGATGCTTCTTAAGCGTGTATCAAGTTTTAGAAACGCCATTTTAGTTTTGAGTTTAATTGAGCACGATACAGCCCGTGACTAAAACGCCATAAATTCACAGCTCGTGAATGTAGCAGATAAAAATTTAAATATATTTAATATATTACAATAATAAATTTAAAAATACTTTATTAGTCAAAAAAATTTTTAATTCTAAATTGTTAAAAATTACTAAACTTTGAAATGTTTTTTTAATTTAAAATCATAGGGCTATAGGTTTTTAAATGGAAGTGATATAAAAAATAATAACAATTTTTTGAAAGCCATAATCAAAATAATTTTATAAAAGGTGTTAATTTTTAACGTTTTATCCTTAAGAATAAATCATATTTTTTCAAATGTTTCTTTAATAACACTGTAGGGAGGTGAAAATATCACAGCTAAACGATCGGACACGTAAACTTAATTTTTGGTCGTAGATTACAAATCCGTGCTTGGTTTAGCTGTATCAGGTCAAAATTCAAAGAAATTGGAAACACCCTGTTTAAATTTAAATACCCTGTATAAAATTTAAAAAAATCAATTTGGCTGGACCTACACATCAGTTGGAAATTAAAAAAAACAAATTCTTGCAAAATTTGAAGTTAATTGATCAAAAAGAACACGTGCCCTGAGGGTTTTTCTTAGATAATTTAGTAAATTCAAAATGTTTTTTTAATGAATTTTTTTTATTGAGCATAATAATTATTAAGGATATTATATTAAACAAAATAAAAAGCATAGGAATGTTGGCACAATAGGGATGCGCATCGAATATTCGATGTTCGTCAAACATCGATTTTAATGAAGTGAACATCGATTTTTTAACATCGATCTTGCATTTTCAATGTTTTATTGACATCAATGTTAGACTTTGCGATGTTACTGTATAACAAATTAAATTTAAAAAAAGAGAATTTAAGTTTATTTTGTTTATTTTTTTATCTGTATTTTTTTATAAGTTGGAAATAAATATATTTTATACATGTTTTTCTTAGACTTGTGTTTTATTTTGAAACATCGATTTTTTGGAAAAATCGATGTTTTCTACCCGATATATCGATGACATCGATATTCAACCTTCGATGTCAACATCGATGCCAACATCGATGTTTTTGTATTCGATGCGCATCCCTATGGCACAAGACGTGAAATATATTATTTTAAAAATTATAAAATACCAGTATACAGTGTGTCCCCGGATCGGATTGCCAATATGAAAAACTTTTTTAGACCTGATACAGCTAAACCGAGCACGGATTTGGAATCTACGACCAAAAATTATGTTTACGTGTCCGAGCGTTTAGCTGTGATATTTCCTACAGTGTAATTATTGTCTTAAATTAACAACAAATAATTTAATTTATTATAGTTATTGTATTAAAAGTATTAAAACTTTGCGACAAACTCGCTAGATATATATATTAATTAATATTCTGCAAGCATTTCTCTTATCACCGCTTTTGTTTAATTTCGTTCAGGATCTCATGCCAGCATCGACAGACGCGTTTCGTTCTGTGGAACTCATCAGTGCCGAGTTGCTATAGGCTTGAGACCCAAACGAAAACTTTAATTCCCTCCCTTATATTGGAAAGGAATAGTTCAAAAGCGGTGAGAAGAGAATTTGCCTGCACAATGGTGCCATCTATCGTTTTTCAACGCGGTCTTCTATATGTCATGACATTAATTAATAAATAATTTAATAAATAACAAATTTTATTTATGTCATTAAGTCAAGAAGTGAGTCTTGTTTTGACAACAATCACGGTTAAAGATAAAAGTTATTGGATAATATAATTAATTTCTTTACAGTTATATTGATATTAGTAATATCATATTCATATGGCAGTTTTTTTTGTCTAAAGTTAAGTTAGGTTTTGAAGATTTTAATTTTTAATACATATATTTTTTTTCAAAAAAAAATTCTAATAAAGGAAAAATTTTGTTTTCTTTAAAAAAAAATGTCGTTGGGATTGAAAAAAAGTAGTAAGAAAAAAACTCAATAATTAATAATATCAAATTAAATAATGTTTAAAAAACATCGACCATTTTCAATTCATAATTGTAGTCAAAATAAACGTTTATTTATTTATTTGAATGCACTTGACCACTTTCCTACGTGCGAACTCAGAATAGTCCTTTGTCGTTGAGTACTGACCTCTTCGTCACCTACCTCAGCCTTCTTGGCCTTGGGGTCGGCCACTTGAAGCGTTTCGTCGGGAGGCAGCCGCCACGAGTTTCTGTCACACCCAACATTGGCGTGCATAGCGTAGTCGCCGACGCCACTGCCTCGGCTGACTGCGCCACTGTTTTGGATCTGAGGTTACGGCTGGCCGCTACGATACTCTCCTGTGGGCCAGGTGAGCGCTGGATACGATGGGGGTTGTGGGGGCCGAACGGGTTGTGCTTCTGCTACCCCAGGACCACCGATTTGATTTGCAGGGCTGTTGAACGCCGATTTATGAGCTGAAAAGATAAGATGTGGATAAGATAACGTTAACTAAAGATCGCTGTAGAATTATTTTTTTTAAATTGTACACCGATAAAACAGTTTGGTTGTTACTTTGCCATTAATTTAAATAAAATTAAGTTGTTAACAACATAACATATTGAATATAAGATTATTAAAATATATCATTTTGACACAAAGAAATCAGTTTTTACCAAATATTTATTTGTTTAAAATATTTTTTGTTAGGGATGCTATAGCAAACGCAAGGCAGACATTGTGAACCAAAGAACTGTTCTTTGTTACGAACCAGAAAACAAGTGTATGAAATACATGCAGTACATAATTTTATGCAAATAAAAATGCAGTGTGTGTTGAGTGAACTATTATTATTATATGTATATATATATATATATAAATGGTAAGTACTTATTTATTTAAATGTCACATGTTCATATAATTTTAAGAAAAGGAGGAAGGCCCCCTGTATCTATATAAAAATGGGAAAAAGGGCAAAAGATCTTGTATTGTGTTAAACCATCGAAAAATATTGCCACAATTTTTATTAACTATAAATAAATGTGTAATTATTCCATTTATACTAAAATGATATTTAAGTAAAATTCATTCAATTACGGGACATAAAAATTAAAATTGCGATGATAGACCTGTAGCGGCATTACCTCCACTACTCAGGCAAACAAACACCATAAAAACAGGCAAAAGTATAAAACATTATAATTACAATTACGTGACAAAATGTACGGATTGTCGAGGCTTACACATTTAATCCTACCGACAATAAAATAATCCCATAACCAAACTTCACAATACCATAAACATTTCCTTATCCTTCGAAGAATTTCTAGCCTAATTAATATCCAAAATCCCAACATTTGTAAAGCCCTTGCATTAGCTCCAAATTTCAGGTCGACGTACAAGAGCACGTAACGGCCGAACTACCTGTATCTAAAATATAAAACCTAGTCCTAGCCTAAGCTAATCACTCAGTAATTCAGAACTCAGTAACTCAGAACTCAGAACTCAACACAGTCATTTCAATTCAGTGAACCCAGTTCCATCATCCGGTCGACATCATTCAGTTCCAAACTATCGGGCCTCGACATCCAACTTAAACGCTGTTTGTTTAACTTTACACGAAAAATACCTCACTACAACCCCCGCAAATTGGTGACCCCGACGTGATTCGAACATGCAAGTATTTGTGGAAGAAGAAATCAGTGCTACCAACATGGCGAAGACCAAAGCTTCCGGCCTAGGCAATCATTTAAAAAAAAATAGTTGATTTTTTTGGCCCAGTCTAATATACATATTATACTCTGATTCAATTACCAGCCTCTCCTACATTTAAAAATTTTTATTGCAAATAAAGGGCTTATTCCTGACAATGAAATCTTCGTTTTGGGCAAATTAATTCTGTTGTGATAACCAGTTTGTTTTTTTGTGACGAAATTATTGTTGTGTTGCAATAGAGCACATGCGTTTATCCCAAATAGGTGCATGTAATACAATGAAATGGAAAATTTGTTAGAAATAAATATTTAGTTTGCAAGAACATAATCTGCTAATTGTAAAGAAATGTATGCATTTACGTCAAATTACAACCACAGGATTAGTTTACCTAAAATAAATTTCTTTTCTCTCAAACAAATTGTTTTTTCGGTGTACATTAAAACTTTACGCATTGTCGTTAATACTGCAAAATTTCGTAGGGATATCAAATAGTATATTATGTATCAAGTTTGATAAACGCCATTTTAGTCACAAATTTAAGCGAGCGAGTGCTTAAATAAATGAATGCCTAGAAAAGTTTATCAACGAGTTGCATTCTTTACATTTTCTACGAGAAATACTTAATATTATCTAAAAAATTATTTAAATTAAATATTTATATAAAGCGAAATCTATACAATAAACATTTTTGACGTAATTTTCAGCATTTACATTGTCTGTTTATATTTTAATTAAACTTCAAAATATGATTTTGTTAAGATAATATTTTATTTTTTTTATTACTATAATTGAAAAATATTAGTATTAAAGTATTAAAAATTCTTTCACGGGAAATCTTAAAGATTTGAAAAGTGACAGTTATATTTATTGGAATTCCCGTTAGAATTTCTTCCTTGGGAATCTACCGGCGTTAAAATCTCAATTTTTTCTATGTAAATAAAAATTTCTCCCTTGAAATTATACAGACAATCGATATAGAAGCAGTTTTTTACAGTAAAAGAGAAGAAAATGTTTTATGGGCACCGTACGCAAAATTGTTGACGCCCTATCAGTTAAATCTAGTTAACTGCATTACTACAGCGAAATCAAAAGGTCAGTACTAAAGTTTATATAATATTTTCAAATATTGGCGTCAAAAAACTATTTAATACTTTTGTATTTTTGTATTGAGATCCCTAATAAAATAATTTTCACATTTCAACTAACTTAAAACTAACTTCAGCCCGTGACTAAAGCGCCATAAAGCCTCAACTTGTCAATGTGTATTTAAAAGGCACTTAGTGTCATGGTAACATGTACGATAATGGGCGTTTTAAAGTTGGAGGTAGAAAAAATCATTAAATTTTTTGGAGGACAAAAACGTTACCATGTAGAAATATTAAAAACTAAAGTACAAACAATTTTTACTAATTAGTACATGGTGTCCCGCCTAAATTTGAACCCCCATTATTTTCCTTACTTATAGCAGTATTCCATACAAAAAAATTCTGAACAGCTCTATACTGTTGAGATAAAAAATATTAATAACCATTATGAAAAATTATTTAAAAAAACCGACAAAAATATTGTTATTATAAGGAAAATATATATAATTATATTATAATATATTTTTCAGATATATATTACTTCATTTTTGTTATTTTCTTCTTCTCTTGGAATTTATACTTAAGGATAAATATAAAAACAATTTAACTTTTCTATGTGCTGGTTTATTTTCAAGTGCTTTATGTTTGTTTATTTTCCTTTGTATTTTATTAGTAACTTTTCTGTCTACAAATCTTTCGTTGGGTATTTACAAAAGGGCTTAAGGATTTCTCTGATATAAGCTATAAAGCCGACACTAAATTGTAACTTACAACCCGTACGATATACGCAGAATAAAGGATAATTAAACTAAATGTTTAAGCGGGAATAAACGGTTTTTTTGGTGTCGGTGACCAAAAAGTAATGGTTTTAATTTTATTTCAAATGTGAATTACCATATAAAAGGATTTTCTACAAAGAGAGCTATCTTAAAAATGCGGTGGTCTATACTTTCTTCTAAGGACTCATAAATATAAAAAGGCTTTTGGTTTTTTTTACAAAATCTGCCAAGTTATCAGCACAAGAAAAATTTATAGGAGTTTTTTAATTTTATTATTTTAAATTTAAATAATTCTTTTTCAACTTTTTAACAAAACATTTTTAGATTTTGTGTACAAGGTGTGTTCAGAAAATAACGGGAATTGTTAAATTTCGCGGGTTCGGAGGGTCTGGTTGTCATAAAATTTTCTTTATTATGTTGGTATACATGCCCCCGAAGTATTATAAAAACTTTAGCTGTTTTCATTGTTTACTTTGTCTGTGGCAGCCGCTAAGGTTAGACGTGTTTTATGAGCTCGGCGATTTTCGTTCGTTTAAAAGAAATGGATCAAAGAATTTGTATTCAATTTTGCTTAAAAAATTAAATAAATTCTGTGAAATGTTAACAAAGGCCTATAGTGAGTCTGCTATAAGTAAAACAAGAGTTTACAAGTGGTATAAGAGTTTCCAAGATGGCCGTGAAGACGTTGAAGATGACGAACGCACTGATCGCACAAGGACATTAACAACCGATAAAAACATGGAAAAAGTGGAAGAAATGGTTATAAACCATCAGAGAAGTCGCTGATGATGTTGGTATATCGATTGGCTCATCCCATGAAATTTTTTCGAATGTTTTGGGTATGAAACGCGTGGCAGCAAAATTTGTTCTAAAATTTTTAAATTTTGAACAAAATTTTTGGCCAAAAACAATACTGTAATGATGCCCCAGCCTCCATATTCGCCAGACATGCCTCTGTCTGACTTTTTTCTATTCCCAAAAATAAAGAGAACCTTAAAGGGGCGTCGTTTTGCAAGCATAGATTACATTAAAAGCGCATCGCTGAAAGAACTAAAGGCTATCCCAAAGATCGAGTTTTATAAGTGTTTCGAGTATTGGAAGAAGAGCTGGTACATGTGCATAATATCCAATGGGGACTATTTTGAAGGCGACAACATTAATGTAGACGAATAAATAAATATTTTTTTCAAAAAACGAAAATTCCCGATATTTTATGAACACACCTCGTATACACTCGTTTTGTATAAACATCTTTTACTTTTTACTTTACCATAATAAAATATTAAAACAAAAAAATTTATTTGTTAACATCTTAGGTTTGCAAATTGTACCTACTTAAAAATGAAAATATTTTTTTATAAAAAAAAAAATATTTTAATTATCGCATACATAATATGCAATTATCTTTGAAACTATAATACTTATTATCTTTGAAACCACAATATTTTTGCGATAGGACCTTTTTTGGAGAGAGCTAAAATGACTCCTAAAAGAATTATTTTTTTACTTTTTGTTTTAAGTGCAATTGCAATTGCAATTGCAATTGCAATTGACATGGCGAGCCTAAGATGTTGACTGAATTTTTTTCCTTTTTTATATATATATTTTCAACCTTAAAGATTATTATTTTTTCTATTATAAAATTAGTTTCTTAAAAGCGGATATCGACCCACTCCAATAAATATATTGAGCAAAATATTTTCATCCTTTAACTTAACTCCTTAGTACTTGATTTTTAAAATTTTGCATTGAATTAACAGGAAATTTAGTATTTTTTATTTTCTATAGTTTGGCGACAATTTATTCCACTACATTTTACATTGGTGAAATTTGTGGATGATTAAATGCTCTGTAAAAGTACCGAAAAAACAGCCATCAGAAATTGGCAACAATTTCTCA